ATCAGGTCTAAATCCTCCTTTGATTCTATTATAGATTCATTTTGCATGCAAACTGGTGGCCCCGAAATGTAATGAGAGCCGATTGTTAGATTATGTCAGACGTGGAACTTGTACTTTGATGCTTGGAAAACTCGGGTGGAAATTCATTTTGGACTCGGATTCGACTGTTGATTTGAGCTCACTTTCCGAAAAACATCGTTTAAATATACATATACAAACTATGTAACCACAGCAACGCTATGGAGGACAGGTTTACTATCATCGCAATGGCACTACAGTCCAGAAAGATACACGGCTACTTAAAAACTGATGAGAAGCTTAAGAGATTACAGCGTCGTATTTTTGCATTACTTTGCCTGCCACTCCAGTTTAACAGTTTATACATTCGTTCGGTAAGCCTTTTTGGAACCTTCTACGTAGGAGCGAGCATAAGGAGTTGGGTCAAATTTGAAGCTGAATAAAACGCATCGTGGTCAGCAGAGTGTCACTTCTGGTTCAGCCTGGGCGTACGGCTGCTAAAAACTCCAATGGACAGCCCGCTAACTGTTTCGCCCTTCCTGAGGCACATTAGATAGATTATCTCCCAGAATTTTCATGAACTTCTTGTTCTAAATGAACCCCAATTGAACGAAAGTTGACCTATACACTCATTCGCATTCCATTTGGTTTTGACACGGGACTCACCTAAAACCCTAGCTGAATATTTTGTTCATGGTATTCTCAGCTAAAGTTGCCGCACCACGCCACCCGATGTTTCATTTGGTACGATGTGCGAGATATCACAATACATGTTATGTACTAAATGTGCTACTGATAAGTTTGCTGGTAACTCTGACAGCTTTCTCTGTTTTACCCTTCTTGGGGGTCATCAGGTAAACACAGTCCCCCAACTTGTCGTCAATAATTTCGGCAGTCCCTTTGTTTTTTTCGAGGGGATTTTTCGTACCACTCGCTTTTTTCCCATGGATTCTATGCTCCTGACTAACTGACGCTCTGGCATAATTGTTGGGCAATCTCTCACGTTGCCCGGAATTATGTTATTTAGAAGGTCAGACTGTTGGATCTTCGTGTTTTATCTGTCTTACGGCCTGTTTGGGCGACCAACATATTACAATAAGTTTGTTCCAGGGACTGTCCCAATTCTATAGTCGCCACTAGCTTTAAAAAGCTGATAAACGACAGATCACGAACAATACATATAGAACCACCAATCTCTGCACTGACCCGGAGTGTTCTAAAATAATCTATTTCAAGTGGATTAGTTAATACCAATTTCTCCTGTGATGAGCTGCTGGCTGCTGTTTTGGAAGGGGCATTAAAATTTTTTCTGTGCTGGTTGAAATGCCATAAATTGCTGGAGTGTAAATTTTTTCCACCAATATGATGGTGTGGCCTAATAAATTTCACAGCATCTGCCCTATGAACACTGTCTTAACATGCTAGAATATATGAGTTCACCGTTAACAAAAAAGGCTACTTCTCCATAATCTAGTTAGGTGTGTGCCCTATTATATCATCCTGTGCATGCTGCATAGCCCCTTATATGTAACCTAGCCGGCACTTTGTTGAAATCGTCTCGCTATTCATCTAACAGTTTCATGGTGGAGCTCCTCAGTTTCAAGTCTCTGTCGCCAAGTTGCCGGATTTTCTCCTTGTTGCCGTTTTATTAGTCGTTGCATATTTAGCTATTGGTCTCCTCTCAAACCCTGCAATTGCCTGAATGCATCTATTATGTGATATATGCATTCTAGGCTACACTTTGGTCTTGCAGATATCGCCGAGTCCGCAAATATTTTTGTCGTGAAGAGATAAAAGTTTTTCAAATAGCTGGCCAAGTAAACACTAACTTTAACGTGTTTTCCATTTGCTGCACAGGTTAGAATTAATTTTGTACAGCCGCACTGTAGTTACCTTATGTTTCTTTGGACCTGTAAACGGATTTTCTCTTAGATATCTAGGACGTTACAGGACAACAAACATACGCTATTTGTGCGGTTGTTCTCCAGTAACGCCATTCAATCAGCTGCATGATTGGGCCTCAAGTAGCCAAGATGCAGACGTTTTGATCAATAGACAGACTTTTGTGGTCACTGCGGGGGCAAACGCGTCTTTGGAGTTTTATCTTGTATGCGTCATAGAATCGCGGTATCGTCTATCAGAACCTTGATTGTTCTGGTACGTCCTGGTCCCGTAGATGCTATTGGCATGTTGTTTTTTTTTATAGTTTTGAATCTGAGAAATCATTTGGAATCTGGTCACTGGTATGTTTTTTTGTTTTAAAAGCAAGATTTTTTACTTGAAACCTCAGCGCAGTTGCGATATTCACAAATGCTACACACATTGGACTGCTAAGCCAGTGGTTTCCAGTTTACAGACTGCGGCCGGTCTTACCTGTCAGGCCATTATACTCGGGGTAGTTTGTCCATGTACATATCGAATAGTATGCTTTCCTTGACTGGCTAATTGCTCACAGGATTTTTACTTGCATTCAAATTAGGTCAGAATCACCGAACCACTAACCGCTAAAAATTTGACAGCATCTTCATTTCCGACTTAGTGCTGGGCTACCAGAAGGAACGCCACAAAACATAAGTTCAGATACATTTAAACTCTGGTACCGTGCCCTTCAAAATTTCTTCCAATAACTGCGGTTTGGTTGTCTGTATAGGAACAAGCTCACATGTTCGGTCATCTTCTCGTCCACTCGTTTGTCTGAACCAGTTGATCAACTAGCTCACACTGTGTACAAAAGTGTCCAGCAAAACTGTCAACTCTGATCCAGAGCAAAAAACAAACCTCCCACAGTCAGACCTGTTACATTAAATGCTGAAGTACTGCGTAAGGCAGCATGAGGCGTTACTTGTCACTGGCCGGTTACAGATCATCCCTATTCTCTCCCCGTTTACAAGAAATCAAAGCTATGACCAGAAATTCTCTGTTCCCGTCGGATTTTGCATGCATTATGCAAACAAATTCAATTCACTCATTAACTATTGATTGAAACGTTTTGTTGTTCCATTGGATACTCATGTTCATAAACGCTATGTAGCACATAAACCGCGGTGCACAAAGAGCTTGCATATGGGCAACAGTTGCGTGTATGATAGTGTTTAGAGCCCAAATGTAGAAGAACAATTTCGTACGTGTCATTTTGAAAAAGTTGAGTGAGCAACAATGAAAACACACATCTCAGTAGGTTTCACAATTTTTCTCAACTGCTGCTTCCAGTCATTCGACGACACAACTGAGATATCCTGTGTTGATTTTTAACGTTCATACAAAAAGAGGGCAGACATAAGTTTGCTTTAGATGCGGTTTGGTTTTGGATCAAACTGTTTACCAAACACAGCCCAGTGTACTTTACGTCAGAATAAAGAATTAAATGACCATTTTATAATAAAGTGCATAGGAAAGTTCTACTCATTTCGTACAGAGCCGATCTTAAATTAAACAGCTGAACAGTTTCTGACCTCAGCACCACTTATAAATCACTTGAGTACATTTCGCGTCTAATACTTACCCCCTTTTTATCCAGTAGTACCTACCACAAATGAAAAATTCGCTCAAGTTCCGGTAGACCGTTCAGCAGGAGTTATAACCACCTAGATGGGCTAGTTTGTAGCGAGTTGTGCCAAAAAGCGACGACATATACAATATGTATGCATTTGTAAAACAAATGTAGGCGCAACCATGAAAATTTGGTGTATAGTGTCCGTGCACTGTTGCACAACCCAACAGCCTTGGACAAACACAAACGCTTTAGGCTTACTAGGTTCTAAAGTGTGAAAGTTAGGTTAGCTGTGGTCAACTGAGCAACCTTAGTCAACGGCCTGTGAAACTAAGTGAGTCCAAGTCAAATAAACACAAATGTGGAACATTCCTCGTGTTCCACTTCTTTTCTACCTGCCGTCTTGGCTCATTGGTCTAGCTTTCGCAAGTGCGTCTGTGTGATGGTGTCTGCAAGGCAAAAATCCAGACAATAACCCGCGAGAGACCTCAGATGATAGCCCACACTCAATTTTTGCCGTCCAACATGGTCGTAGTCAATCAGAGTATTCTATGCACAAGCACGCGCATATTAGTGTGTTTTGATAGCAGTGGGATCGCTATAGGATGGGGTTGAATTTACTTTCTTCAGTTTATGACCTCAAATTTTCATATCTGCACTCTCTTGAGCAAGATTGCTTGAGGATACTAGAGTATGTGGTGACAGAATAAGCTCTTTTCCCTGATAGTTCACACAGTGTAAGAGGACGAAATTAACCTAATGTGGGTGACTAATCACAGTCGGACCTTAAAAGCTACTGTTTTCATCCTGAATGGTTATCACCATGAAACCCCAATTATTAGTTGTTATTTGTCCACTTTTGTGTTTATTTTTCGCTTTTGCCAATCCTAAATACTGTATGCAGTTTCACATGTTACGATGACTAGCTATTTTTTGCCGAACGTTTTGGTGGAAAACTTAGAGCATTTTGACAGAATACCAAATACGATGTGAAGATTTTGTAGCGTTGAGCATATGCAGACTCACCCGAACACATGAACGCCATATCTATGGATTCCTGTCCGATCATCTCCAGCTTCCTATCAAGACATCTCATCAGTCTCGAGACCCGACACCAAAAATATGTGTGGATGGCTGTTCCGCTCTAAGTGCATTTATTCAGTAGCGCGTGCGTACTTTCACTCTGTCCCTGAAGTGTGATTCGTAGACTTGCTAAGAATAGTTTGGTGAGAAAAGCTTTTTTTAGCTTATGCAACTCGTGTATACATTATATGACTTCATATCCTGTATATTTTATATTTTTTGGCATTTCAACCAGAAAACACGGGTGGAAATTCAACAACACATGCATCTTTCCACCAGCCAAAAACTTCCACTAATCGGGTGTCAGCTGTAGATTAGACTGAAAGGTATAGTCGATCGGCAAAATGTTCTTAACTTGAAAATGGCGCTTTGTCATAATCCATAAATACAAAGCACTCAGGGTAACCGAATGAATAAACGCCGGTCGCTCGAACTCATCACCCGCATTCACCTGCATTTGTTCGCCTCTTTCAGACTGGTTGCTATGCAAAAGTATCCGGACATCGGACCTTGTCCACGTCCCCTGTGCTTCCAGCCACCCCGTTTTGAACTAATAAGCCTTTCCAAATCACGAGACTGCAGTACAATGTTTAAGGAGGATAGTTTCAATTCTGCTTCAATGGAAAACACTTCCACTGTAAAAAGAGCATCCGCTAATGATAACTTTGTACGCCATGGCTTGGCAGTCCTGTTTGATAGTGCAGCTGAGAAAAAAGAACAGGACAAGGTTCGAATAAGGAAACAACTACGTCATGTTTCACTAGATATACTGGCTACCGAGTGGCTAAATATGGAACCGAGGACCATTGAAAGTCGGGCCTATCTTATCGGCAATGTTCTGCCACAAGTTGTGTTCGGATTGGAGCACATTTTAAAGGAAGCCGTAGCTAGACGTTTGACTGGACTTGAACAGACGGAACAAGCCAGACTTTCTGAAGGTGCAGATCCGAATTTCAATCCAATCAATAGGCTGGCCGAATTTCTGATGCGTAACAACCATAAATACAGTAATTTTAGTGAAACCTCGCCGTACGTTCGTGGTTTGCGGAACACAGTCGCACAGCTACAGCAAGAAATGTTTATGCGGTCTGACAACCATTTGGCCAGACTGAAAGCCGCAGCGATCAAGAGCAAGGAGGATAAACTTAAGCGTCTGGAAGCCGAGGCAGAGGAACAAAAGCGACGTCGCGACTGCGTAACTGAACTGTTTGACATGTTTCTGGTCAGAGAAAGGAAGACAGTGGAAGCTGCAGTGGTACGTCACTGGTGCAGTTCACTGACTTTTCTATGTATGAGCATCACCGGAAGTTTTCTTTTCTGGTTGTGAAATTGTAATCTCATATGTGGTACAGTGTGTCAAATCTTTTAATAACAAGTGCTTATTTGATCTAAGTCCACCATATGCAGAATGAAACCAACGGTGTCGGAAAAACTGCGCCTGTTAAATTCGCATTCAGTAGGATTCTGTGATGAACAGTCAGAAAACACGTATTTGTTAGCACCTTCACCTCAGTTGTCAAAAATACCATTCATATTAAGACAAAACTTCTACATTTCCCCCATAGAATGCTCCACGGTCCTTTCGCCGCAGCCTATTTGCGGGTGTCGTTGCGAATAAGAAGATCTCGTTAATCACCTTTTCATGGTGGCGTTAGTCAGGTTCCTTCGCCTCCTGGGGAACGTGCACTAGAATTTGCATTATTGAATCAAACTATATCCAGTTGAAATAAAACATTGGGACTGTGCGTAGTGGCTGACGCAAGCAAACTTTTGATCTGCACATATTGAAGATCTTGAGCTAGAATTATCATGGCAAGCTTCCCTAACATCGCACATATGGAGTGAATGAGCTATCCTACCTGATAAAACTTCAGCTCGGTCTAGTTTAGTTTCGCTACCTTGAACCTTGTACAGCAATTTTTAGTGTGGTTAGTGAGAAATGAATGGAGTTCAATGAAGCGCCTAGTGTGGGAGGAATGGAAACATCAAGCAAATAACTGGTTGATACCTCAGGATATGAAGAAGCGTGCTGCGGGGTAATTTTCCGACCCCATCAGAATTCATGGACCAAAAACCTAGCGACCAGGTTAGACATTTTATTAACTTTATTTCAAATGTGATGCCTATCTTGACCGGATTTTAGCTTATTCAAGTGGTAATCTGACTACTAGGGAATTTTCACCGTTCTGCCTGAATAGTCGCCAATGATTGTAAAGGGCCCGATAATTAAAAGGGTCCGGAGAAAGAATTCTTCTCGTTGAATACGGAGCTGGATGGATGTTCTTGCGAACACTGTTAACTTTGATTAGTCGAATGACTGAAATGAATCCGGTTACTAATGGGCAAAGCTTGCATTGAACAACTCAGACTTCTAGGTAAAGCGTAGCAAACTATGGATCGGAAATAATCTTTGGAAGCAGTTGGTAAAATCTGAGGGACTAGAAAAGGCGACTGTCTGAAGTCTACAGCCGGCCGACGCATGTTACGTAAAAGAAATCACTTATGACGGTACTCGATAACTTTATTTTCATGTAGTACATTTTAATTCTGATAACGCTTACACAAAGTGTCCACATCATGAAGGCAACTTTTATCCAACACGAACTTGCTGGTATATAGTTGTCGAATTACTGGAAGCCTGCATGTAGCTGGACAAACACGGGTGATTTTTGTGGAATCAGACGTAGTAGTGTGTTCATACCCTTATTCTTGGTCGTAGAGGATAAGACTGCTGGTCACGCGTCCCATGGCCTATATCGGGACATTGTTCAATCCAAACACGGGGAACATGTCGCCAAACATCGGCACTAGTTATTCATCTAGCATGATCGACCTCAACGGGCAGTTTCCTTGAATTCCTGTGTAAAACCACAAATTCCCTGCAACGGTAGCTTATACTTACTGGAACTAAAGAACCTGGCGATGTTCCGTGAACAAGGTTTAATGACACTATCCGGCAGATGGATATGCCGGGGATCCGTGAGACAGTCATTCTTCAAACCCTTTGTCAAAAGCCACACAACTCCACAAGTTTTAAACAAAGTTTGTCAAGGCTATATTTACAGAAAAAATCTAGGGCTAGTCAAGTTTCGGCTCTAACCATATATAATTTGTTTCGTGTTGCATCTTCTCACTCACTCATCAAATACGACCAGATCAGAGGAAATGGTCATAGTTAAGCTGTGCTGCATTCCATACGCATTTACTCTTTAAACAACTTCGATGTTCACAAGAGGATTTGTTCACTTTAAATGGACAATCTTATGCACAAATTTCGAGGGAAGTAGTGCAATTAACCGAAAATTTCACTCACAGAATGTTCAGGTTACGCTGTTGTACTGCACTACAGTACACAAGCAGGTAGACGCGCATCTCAAGGTGACCAAATGCTATGCTGATCTTCAAAATTGGTCTTCAGTTCACCATGTGTTCGGTGCATTTCACAAAAGTAAATGGAAACCCCACATCATGCCATCCCAGGGGGACTTAGCTCAATGCTGGGTGTTCATAGCGGTCAGTTACGTTCAGGTGACCTTGATGTGTTTTCGAGGTGACGCTGTAACTCCCTGTCCTAATTCCACCTCAAAGACACGTATTATTCAGCAACTATCCTTCGCGCTTTGTGTTTCACGCAACTGTTTGCAGATCCACAACTGTATCCGCACATTTGTCGATCTGGCGGTCCATTTGCCGGAGCCCTTGAGACAGTCCTTGGTGCCACTGTATGAGACAAGAAAGGCGGAAGAGACTCCCATGTCGTATAATCAAGAAGAATTTGTAAATGTGAGTACCACTTTTATCGTGATCTTGAAGAAGCTCATGTGCAAACCGCCGCTCCTCAATCCCTTATCCTTATATATGTATATATCGTCCTGTAATAACGTACAACCACGTCGTACGAACAGTGTCCCATCTAATCTGAGTTTGTCTTTTCAGTATTCTTCCTACACACACTCGGCTCTAAAGACGGTGAATGTATCGCCAGACTACTGACATATTCTGTGCACCTTTTTCGGCGTTGCAAAATTGTAGAACCTGAAACTGCACGAGCAGGATATGACTAACTCTCAGTGACACCCACCTAAATAACTAACAATTTGACGAAGTGAAATTGTGCAACCTGAAACTGCACGAGCGGGATATGACTAACTCTCAGTGACACCCACCAGGTGGAGATACCAATGTCAGGCACATATCCCCTTTGTTAAAAATTTTCCCGGTTGCTGAGGCCACAATTGCATTAAGAGCAAGTGTGAATCAAGTTGGATTTTTGTGTGGTCCGTGCAGAGAGGCCGTCTGGGAAGTTGGACAGAAGTCGAATATCATTGTTGCACAGCTCCGTAGAGGGTTTGATGATCAGCAGGCAAACATGAGTCGTATGCAGACATATTCATTTAAAAAATCTGATTGAGTTTCCGTTAATTTTTATTTTAGTGTTAAAATAGTCCATCAAACTTAGGAGAACGTGACTGCAGGACAAAACTGCTGGTAGATTGTTAATGCATGGTTCCTACAATGTAAGCAGCGACAGCGTTATGGTGAAAAATTGGTTTGCGAGATAGCAGTTGCTTTTCGTTACATCTCACAACGGTTGCTGGGGTAGTAACTGGCGTGCTGTGTACGCTCGCAACTTCATCGCTAAAAAGCTTTCACTGCCTATCTCAATTACCACAACTTCGTTCAAATACACTCAGGTATAGATAATGGTGAATTCCAACAGGTACAATTACTAGGACCACCTTTCTATGGGGGATCTAAAATCTAAGCCACACTTGTGTTCTGTTATGAAATTGTTTAGTCAGTAGCCTTTGCGTACATGACTTGCTAGCGAAGTATAAAGGCCATTACCAGCAAACTCAGCTGCTCTGGTCAGTGACATCTTCGTGGATTGGAACCCTGAGATGGGCCACATCAATAGGTAGAGGCTTGTTAGACATGGCCAAGTCGCGCCCGTAATGGCACTCACGCATCCAATCTATTGCCTTCCCAATCCCCCTACTCAACAGTCCACCAACAGTGCTACATTTGCGCACCAATTGATCAGCTCCCGCCTCCAATGCGCAGCTACCTACCCCAACTCCCAGAATCATCGGTGAACGAAACTGTGCAGCTACAACCACTATACTACGACAAGTCGCGGCTATTACAGCTGACAGGGAAGAAGAAGACATGGTGTATGGTGGAAAGCGAATCAGTTGCCTTGTTTATAAACGATTTGTTGCAAGCGAACAGGCATTTATTGCAAGCTCGACGAAAACTTTTAAAATGCGAGATTAGAGAATCAAAGACCAAACTTTTGAGAAAAGTATCGGGTTATAATGACAAGCGTCCTATTTTATGTCTCTGTCCAACTAAACACGCCTAGTCTCAATTCAGTAAGGAAATATTCTTGTGGCAAAAACAGTTTTTAAAATGATGAACATTCTAAATGATCTTGACGATGTCATTTCCCGGAGCTCATTCTCCAACTCCCAAGACATATGTACAGAGCTCGACGGTTCTCCGAAAACCTTCGACAACCGACCTTCTATTACAGACTACCTCAAATTCAGCCATCATTTACTTATTAAAAAAGCCCAGCAGCAATTGGGGGCAGCCTGCCGAACCGGGTGTTGAAATTTTAACAGTGTTCTATGAGACCGAATGCCCACTCAAAGAATCAGAGCTTAGATTTCTGCTCAGCACACCCCTCAGACTCGTTATCGTTTGTTAACATGTAGTTCTGAGAAAGTTTACTCTTTGTAATTCAAGGCCGTAAGCTCCCTGCACCTAAGGAAACTTAACCAGTGAAATTTCGGTCAGGTTTCACCCCAATAATATCTTACTACGGATTAAATTTTATCATTTCCTCCTAACGACGTAATTCAGTTATGATGTATGAATAAATTTGCGTTTTTGTAACTCATACTCATCAAGTCTAACAAAACTATGCGATAACAAAACACACAAGACACATTTGCGGTCAAATTAAAAGTCGCAAGCCCCAGCACATTAGCCAAAATCATCAGGCAAATGTTGACAGAACAGCCCTAACTTTGATCATTTCTTTCATTAAGTTTTCCTGCATTAAAAGTGATAATGGTTGAGTGCTGGAGAAACCTACTGCTGACACATACACCTCGTTATTTTCAGGTATCACTCTCAGTATGGGAAGCGAACTGCATGAGGAAAGGACATTTCTTATTGCAGCTGCATCATAAATTAAGTGCAGTTGGAAAACATCAACAGAATGCTTCGTGAACAAACTGAGCCCCTACGCTTAATAGGCCGCAATATATTACTGTTCCGTTCAAGGGGATAGGTCACAGCGTGGCAAACAGGCCTGAGCCGTACTTCTCAATATCCCTGGAAACGAAAGCGCGAATCATGATCAACCCCTAAAAGAGGTTTTCGCGCTAAAATGCTAACGTTCTAAAATTATAACGCTAAAGAAATACATTTGCACTAGTCCAGAAAGGTGTTTGCCCTCTAGTAAAATAGCATTATTTGCTACAATATTTGTTTGGTATTTTGAGGCAAAATCTGGTTAGTCAGAGGAGCAAGGTGACGGGGAGATTGAAGCAAAATGCGTCTGCTTACCACTACTTCACTTTCGCCTGCAAATGTGAACTGTTTGTGTCAGGCAATGTTAAATGATGGTAACTATGCTGTCACGGGAGTATCCGTTGCAAAGCGAGTGTAGCGTTTCTGGCCAAGCCTCGGACCTTGCTAAATTATAATCAGCTGGCAGCTTTGAAGATACTGCGCTATCCAAAGACCGACGAACCTCAACTTTACATGTCGATCTGAGCTAATATGAGGTACGAATACCTCTACTCTACCCAAAACGTCCTTCTACTGAATCAAAAGTAGTAAGGTCAATTAAATCATGTTATCCTGTAGCGAGGTCGAAAAATTTTCACCTATGAACTCTAATTAGATTCCATGAGGTCGGTATTTAATTTCAAGCCTTGCAAGTCCTGAGATGAAATGGCAGTGAGCAACAACAATAGCAATTTGAAGAGCTGTATTTTGTGTATAATATCAGAATGTAACTTATTGGTTTCACAATGCTATAACCTAAATTACGTCGTGTTTGTAATCTCTCACGACATGAAGGTTGTTGAGTTCCCAACTTTTCTGTGTCAAATCCGGTGTCAAATTCTCTGAGAAGTGTTTCCCATAAATCAAACAACTGAGAAAATAAACAGAACAATTCGAAATTTCACTATCAAAGCCCAAACTCACGATATTGTGTTTTTTTCAGACGCGGTCACTCAGAGAATTATTTGTTTATTACGGAACTAACGGATTATCTTCGCTCTCTTTAGTACGTTCTCGTATATGCAAAAGCACTATCAACGGAGGTGTTTGATCAACTGGTGGAACATATGAAATTGTGCGCCAAAGAATATGTTTCGGCGCTTCAACGAGAGCAGCGGAGAAACGTTTTCACCAAGCTTTTTGCTTCCTGCAACATTTCTCAAGTATGTCCATTTTTTCACTTTAGTGGACTCTGCAGTTGAAGCTAAATTCAAGTACTGAACTTGGCACCCGTTGATTTGGATTTACTGCCTACTTATTTCCTCTGAAAGTGATATTCCTACCCAAAAGTTGGGTTTTTAACTGCGTGAAGCATTATGCTGAAGAAGCTGCTGTGGAACAGCAAAAAAATTATTAGTGGCATTTCTGAATGTCCAATTTCACTTAAAAGTCTGATTGGGTGTTGAAGGATTTGATATGGCAACAAAAAAGCCAAGTGAAGTCGGTCAAGTCAGAAAACTGCCACGCGGTTGTAATGAAGGATTTCTTGTAGAACTGTCGTTAGGTAAGGCTTTCTTAGAAGGATTACGACGATCCCCTTCATCTCGATTCTCGCACACAGTGTTACACACAATGCTTTACACAATGCTACTATGATTAAAGCAGTTAGTACAAAGGCAGAGCATTAATGCACCAGTATCTAACACTGGCATTATATATTATCGGAATGCTGGCGTGCGGGAAAAGGAACCGGATGATGAGGCATGCAGGGCAAGAGTGAATAAGTTGATCAGATTAAACAAAGAAACTATTCAAACTATTCAATCCAAGGGGACCACATACCAAAACCAGGTTTGCTACTCAGACAGAAAATCATATTCCCTCAAGCAATAAGTCTAAGCCATAACGTGTAAGTTTGTGGCGATTTCACTACCAGGCTAAGAGCGCGGCTCATTCAGCCTTCTGAAAATTTTCAATTTCTGAGATCACTCACAATCCGTAGATATGATGAGATGCTAAAGCTTTGGTTGGGCTTTCAACACAGCAATGAATCTAATCTATACTCAAGAGACGAAGAAAACCTGTATAGCTCCCTCGTTCTTGTTAGAAATTATCCGTTGTGCTCGTTGAACAAAATTCGACGGAGAATGATACATGCAACATACCCAGGTCTCAGGGATAAGTGAGTTGTCAGCGTCACACATTCTCCGAATTCACGATTTAAACCATCTAGTCTAGTACCGAACTGTTCTTTGCTTGATGAGCCGTTGAAGGATGAGGGACACTGCATTCTGTGTCACTAAATCCCAATGCTGATCATCAACCCATAGCCGATTGTCAGGTGAGTCCGTCTGATACTCAGAAGGTTTTAGAAATGATATTTGTTAGAATTTTGTAAAAACACAGACAGCTGTAGCTTTTCCATCATATGTGCGGCATAAATCCACACCATATCCAGTGTGACATTACTAACCGAAAAGTATACGTTTTGTTTGTGCTGTGCGCACTTGATGTGACCCGCATTTAAAGCAACCAAGTGCCACAAACTACTGAGGAAACCCCTGTGAATCACATCTACGGATTGGAATAAAAAATTGAGAAAAGGCACGAGATGACAACCATTTGTGGTAATAATTTTATTTTGTAAAGATACTTGAGAGGTCGACCGGTTTCAGTTGTTGTACTCCATAATCCAATCAGTGATATTTCTGTTAGACATCAAGACTTCACAGCATATTAACTCTTCCATCTCCCCAAAAAGCGGCTTGAAGAAGTCAAAAACACTCAACCCTAACGGATATTTAGTGATTTGAAAACGAACATTTTTCCGGTCCACAACACATCTTGTCTCCATATAACACTGCAACTGGCCCAAATTAGACAGGCTCACAATCCTTCTGCGTTCACCAGGAGATATCTGACTTCCAAGGTGCTATATCCAAGCGGTCTGTGATTGATTTCTATTTCGAACAACAGAAAATATTGTTTTGTTCCCAAAATACCTATCTTACTCGTTTCTCAAGGAAGTGGAATTTTGAAGCGAAAATTATAATCGTTTGTTTGCATCCCCCAGACCGATGGTATTACACGTGAGAGACTGTTGGAGCTGTGCGATGCCTATTTTGAATCTGCACCTGCGGATGTGAAGGTGCTTCTTCGTGATCCAAGAGATTGTGAGTTTGGGTTACCACATCTTCTGTACCTTACCAAACGTTCCGTAGTTTTTTACGTTTTATTCTAGAATAAATCGTCAGAGTTCCTGCAATAAAAAATTCTTTCTGAGCTTTTGTTGCCATAGGAAATTGTATCGAGAGAATTTTTACTAAAACTCAGAATATGAGCGCATGATCCGGAAAGTTCTTGTAATGGCATTCTGGAGATGCAGTGGCAACCGTAGTAGCTAAGAATTATGCTATTGAACTGGTGATTCTAACACTGATTCACTTCTTTACAATGCTAAAATACGCCAAAATTATGCGGTAGATGACACCTTTATAACTTCGCTCACCGAGAATTCCAGAATGGTGTAGCAATGGCAGATAACTCAGCATCGCGGCCATACATGAACATAAATGGACAAGAAGCTTGGATTCTTGAAATTTCTGCGCCTTTATGGTTACACGATGGTTATTGGTTGCAGATTAGGTACATCTGTACATGAAAGGTTTTGATTAGGCACAATGTCAATTTGTAAAAACATAGGTAGCTCGGATGTGTTTACTGTTGGTTGATCGGATGGTATTTGTTCTGTTCACCAAGCTTGGCAATTGTTTTGCAAACGCTTCGTCGCAGTCGAGGGGAGGTCGTCAGTGAGCAGTTGAGTGGGCGCTTATTCCGTGCCTAGCTGCATTAATAGTTTTTTCTACTATCCCGTCATGTGATTAGCTAATTGGTGTGTATCTTTACTGCAGTGTCATTGGTTCTGTCGTGATTTGCGCTGCGTTGCGGTCTGTATGCCAACCAACAAATGGAATGCAAGGCATACAGACGCCTTTAGAAGTCAATCGCTGGCTGTCTTTCTAGCCCCTTTTAGTTTTCAAAGTACAGTACGCTATGTATCAAGTGTAGTTCCTCAAAACACCTTCCTCATCTACCGTTTCATACAGGGCCTATACAGGACTATTTCTTACGAGTCATTCAGCCCGAGCTAGAAAAGTTGGGAAATTTACAGGCAGAATCACTCCAAAACATCGTGCAAGGGGAAGAAAACCAATTCCTCGGGGACCAGAATAACTCTGCCTCGTCCTGCCTTTCGGATGCACCCCAAATCACGATGGAAGCCGAAGCATACAACAGAACGTTGCCTGTTGGAGACGTAACTACGGATGAGCGATGTGGCGGGAAAGATGATCAGAATGATTTTGACCTCTCAGACCAACCGGACGGTATAATCTCTTCCTCAGTAACACGAGGACTTGAAGATTGTCAATCCTTCCTTGCTGAAAACGTTCTGAGAAACCAGCATGAGCTAAGTAAGCACTTAGATGTGGAGGTTACTTAAGTAAGTGAATGAGTGAAGTTATTTACTCTGTTAAGTGAGATTGGTAATTTTGCAAAGTCTCCAGAAAAGACGAATCTGACCTAGTTTTTCAAATACAGTCACTTTTAAGTTACTTCATCTGATTAGCTGCAATACTTCATTCTTGGACATGTACGATACAGTGAGACAAGCGTGGAAACCAGTGTTTGTGAACAACAGCATTGTATTCACAAAAAACAGGTGGTATCCATGCAGCTACTCCAGGCATAAATGGATTTTTTCATATCATCCGAATTGATGGCAATATCCCCAAGCAATCCCATTCGATACTAAGACTTAAAAATACATGCTTATAATCTTTGTAAAGCCGTGTTTGGATAGATGCAAGCCCTATCTTACGATTAGACGTTCTGACGCCTGTGGCGGGGAAGCTGCACGGATATTATTAAATGTTATTTGGAAAGGCAAATAAATAATTTGAAAAGCTTCTAAACTTCCACACAAAGATGTCTGGAGAGTTACGCGCATCAATCATGTGCGTGATCTGCCTAATTCTCTGGTGAGCTAATTCATATACGTCCAACAATTTAGAGTGTTCAGGCGATAAAGGAGCCTGTCCACTACGTAATCTAGGCGAATCTCAACTTCCGATAAGAATAAAAACATGAACCGCTGAAGAGCCTAAGGATGGATAATTTTCAATGTTTGCGTGAGTCGTTTTGTTTTCGTTTTCTGGAGAAGATGTTGAGTAATTTTGCCAACCCCAGCATGCACGTCATCTCCGTGATCAGCAAACTCGGCACCAGGACCAATGAGCATTTGCTTTGGTTTTGCACTACTGATGGAGGGAATAGTAACATAATAAATTTCTAAAAACCATCACGTCCCGGAATGAATCCATGGGCATCCTGATTTTCTGTGTGATCTCACACTCGCAACTGGCAAGCCCAAACAAAGTCTTGTAGTGTCGGAAAAAGTCGCATTCTTACTAATCACCGACTCTCAATAAACCCAGTCAAGATGTCCATTCACCTGCGGGGTAAGCCCGCCAGCAGGTCCTACACGAGGACCGAAATGCGTGCTAGGAAGAGTAACTGGTTGTTCAAAGCAGTATCGAAATTGTTTCCAACTTCAATACTGAAATAAGAGCCATCAAAGTTATTAGCTTCTACTTAACCTCATGTGCCTGGAAAGCCCACTACATCCGACAGCTGAGTGGACAACATGATTCCAGTTTATAATTGGAACGACTTGGGATCAACTAAAGGGGCAGGGTTCCTCAAACGCAGTCAGTTACACGCGTAATGACGTGTTGTACACGTACGTTCGGCGGAACTAAAACATGGAGAATCAAAAATGCAGCTTCGTTTCATTTGGACAATACACTGGCAATAGAAGAAGTGGCATGTATAGATTTTTTAAATTTGTATCAGGTGGCTAGTCGTCCAAGTTACTTAGTAGAAAATTTAAAGGAGCTAAAATGGAGCTTGTGAAAAGGTCCCAAGTGGCATAGGAAAAACCTAGAATTTCTGTTTCCTCGTTGGGGGCTGGAATGAACTATCTGATGTGATTTGGTGTCAATTTCCACAGCCTTCATTTCCTACTCCGATAAGTAAAAGTGAAACCAATTCTGAATGACAAATCTGGTGGCCTTTGAGGAAGCTTATGCTCTGAAGACTATCACTCGCGTTCACAGTAGTTTTTCCATCCTCACGCGGTCCGCGTTAGTTCCCACCAAAGTGAAAAAGGAAACGTTGTGGACAGTGCGCCTATCAGGACCCATTGCGCGGTGTATTCTCTCAGCCATATTGGACCTTCAACCCTGGACGTTTGACATACGGATTAAGGGCACACACTTGTCAGGAGACGATTGTGTTCAGACTTGACTGGCTTCTGAAATGGGTTGTTTTTTTTAATATCTAGTAACTTTACTGTTTGCATCGACCGTTTGATCCTTCTGTAGAAATTTCCAAGGCGTTTTCGTTTCAAAAGGGTAGAAGGTGAACACAAATCCTTCATATACCGCAAATACGTCCAGTTAGAAGAAAATCATCTTACAGGTTTCACATGATCAGTTGATCGATCCAGACTGCCAATGGGTCGTATCTCGAAACTGAAACCTTAACACATTACAACAAAAGTAAAAAACATTCCAAACCTTCGTCATAGCTCTCATGTGGAAGTGGCTGGCTATTTGTTAACAGATAGCCTCTAAATGCTATATAAACGCACACAGGCAAACAGAAGGTACCCACCCGAATGCGCAGTGATGGTGTCTACACGTATGGTGACGAAACGTTTGCAAGTCAGTTGCCAAGCTCGGCGAACAGATCAACAGGCATCTGATCAACTACCAATAAACTCACCCGAGCTACCAATATTTTGACACATTACCGATCATACAAGCATCATAGGTAGAATGTGTGATGCACTAACAAGCCATTTACGAGAAACCACTCAACACATGCTCCGCCATTCAGCAATTCACTAAGCCCGTTGTCGAACAGTTTGAGTAACTGATCATGTTGGTTTTACCCAAGGTCAAGCAAGCTGTGCGATAACTTGCATCATCCAAGTTGGGCCCAGGAAGATCTCGACTTTCCGGTATAGAGAAGAGGAAGAGCTGAATCGTTAGCTCTATCGTAGCTTGCATCAGAGCTTACATTAGCACATAGTATCGACTAGGTTTGTACAGAGACTGTCTATATACCCACCATGTCTGAAATACTGAGAGAACCATGCCAACTGGAGACAACAATGCAGTAACATTATGCTTGTTTTGAGAAAATGTTCGATGTGCATGAACCAAATTATAGTCGACTTCTGTACAGACAAAATTAGTTTCAAATGCAGTAACATTATGCTCTTTTTGAGAAAATGTTCGATGTCGACTTCTGTACAGACAAAATTAGTTTCATTTGTAGACGCAGAGAAGAACGCTACGTGTTGGCTTTGTTTGTCTTCTCCGATTACGGTTTCCGCAAACAGTGAGTAATCAGCAATGAATAAAATTTATGACTCCAGTGTGCATATGGAGAACTTTGATCGAATCTATGTCTGATCGTCAGAGAAAGGAAGGAAACAGTAATGTATGCACAGAATGACGTGATGGGACGCCGCTTTCACTCCATGCGAGTTTAATTTCTGATTCCTGATATCTAGCTATCGGAATGACCCAAACGAATGACATGTTTCAAACCCGTCGCGATCTTTTCTGACATACAAAGTAACCAGGTAAGCAACGATACAAGAGTGGGTGACTCCTCTGCACGGAAAGTGGAAGTCCTCAGTTCGGAGTTAGGAAACATGGATCGCGGTTTCGCCCGGATACTCCTTCAAATTTTGCTAGGGAACTGTGAAGGGTTTTTGAGAGGAAATTGTCAGAACAAACCGTTTTAACACTTAATGACAGGATCGTAACAGATTGGTTGCCGCATATTTCGTTCTCATCAATGGCTTCCGTCTTTACATTTGTGTGAGTCAATTTTTTCTAATAATATCCTCCTGAATTATGAGACTTTTCGATCGTATCGGTCATTTACTGAGAAGAATTTTGCTTACTAGATCCGGCGATGCCATAAAAATCATGGTTAGTCCTCGACTTCAGTGTATTTGGTTCATTGTGAAAAGCTGTGCCATAGGAAATGTCCAAGTTGAAATTTGTCAGTCGTAATTAATGGGACCTGTTTATAGTTTTCACGTAATTGTCCACTCTATTAACTGCTTTGCGCTCCTAACGCATTGTACCTTCCAATTTTTAACTTTGTATTGCAGTCCTTCAAAACCGGGTTTCGAATTTCTGATTGATTCTGACAGAAATTGAACTATTATCCCCTTTCCAGGTGTTCTTTCAAAGCTCAGGACTTATCTGACGCTAATCAATGGTGCAGAATACACTTACTCAAGTAGACAATTCCAGTATGCGTACATGCCACAACGACTAACATTGGCGCAATTTCTGCGTATGATGGAATGTTTTCTGAACGATAATTCACCAGATGAGGTTGTGCAAAACCTGGTTTCTTATTTGGAAAAGAACTACACAGAAGCTTCAGAATGGCAAGAGAACTATGGCACCAAGGTAAGCGAGTCAATATTGTAGAAATCCGTCCACCGATTAAAATAGTGCAGTGTTGTTGAGCTCGCAGTACGTATGGCTTCGTACGCATGTGTGGCACTCTTGTATGAAGCCGACTGTGGATTTAAGAATCAGAAAATAGGCTATTAAAAGACAGGCAGGAACCTTTGCATTGAGCAACTCGTTCGGTGCACTTAAAACCAACTTCGTCATCGTCGTCACCTTTATTTTCAAAATCCCTACCATTAGCATCCTGCTCCTCATCACCATCATCCTTTTCGTCACCCTAATGCTAATCCTCACATTAATGGTCACCTTTACCCACATCCTCATTCTTATTCTCGACTCCATCCTATTTTGTGGGCTCAGTCTTACTAAAATCCTTCCTCCGCCTCCTTATCATCCTTATCGCTGGCATCGCTTCGATGTCTTAGTTAACTGAGGGGGTGAGATTACACTTGGAGGAATCAGCATCGTGCACTCCCACTATATTGACCATCATATACTAAAGAGTCCCTCAAAAAGATAGTTTTTCAGGCCCTCCTGTATTAACTCACGTAGTTAAGACGAATCTGCAGGAATACTGTCTCCAGGAAGAAGTCACTTTAGGGTGCCGTAAAAGTCTTATTCCCGGCAAAACTAGATTACCAATAAGATAAGTTATTGATCTGGCCTCACTCTACTCGGTACTATTTCATGAGAACTGATATCCCCTTTTATGATTACGTATCACCAAACAACTTTTCGGTGTATTTCATAGGACCATCTTCTAGTGTCAACATAGGAAAACCTCTCTGTCTGTGTCCATTGTCTATCAGCTGCGCCCCTGTGTGCGTGAAGGTGATAATGGGTTGTCGAACTTTTTCCACTTTACACTGTGATAGGAGGGCAGCATATGTATGCTTCCCGCCGAGGGTGGCATATATTCATATCTTCATATATTTTCATATATCATATCTTCATGATCCTCTCATAGCCATATCTTCATGTCATGTCATCATGATCTCGAGAGAGTTCATAACTCCCTGATGGAAAATACACTCATCCAAGCACCAATCTACGTCATTGCTGTCACACTGGAGGGTGATACTGTAAACCCAACGCGCACAACTGCAGCTTTACTAGATTTCGTTGCATATCTTCAGCTGGATAGAGTTTGGTAGAATGTAACAGAATGTCCATACGTATACCTCAAATACACTGGGCTATCGTCACTAGTCTCTTCCACTTATTTCGCCAACGGACGTCCCGCGAAAGGTAACCAGCTGTCCATCAGCTACATTGGATTGCAAGCTGCCCGTTTCCCGAAAGCATTATGGTAGGTGTCCTTGGCTGGCTCCATTAACATTCAGCTGTCTATCTAGTTCTTAATACACTGCCAAGTAGCTTGGCTTCGATCGTTCATACAGTTTTCTGTCACTTGTGGGCGGTCTTTTAGAATGAAATCATCCCCTCAGGAGAGATTGTATCTAGCTGGTTAACCCGAGTTCAAACCAAGGAGGAATCCCCCAAATGGATCACGGGACAGGAAGGTCAATTTCGATTCATATCTCGAGTTATTATCTCCATTGTGGAGTGCTAGCACGTGGCATCTGCATTCCTTCACTAACCTTGGAACTCAGAGATAGTTTTATCACTCTGGTTATAACGATTTAAACTCGCAATTGTTGTCCATGTTTTATTTGCTTCATTTCATCTTTACTGTCGTTCAGTTTAGGGAGATGAGGTTCGAAGAAGAATCAAACAATGTTATAGAAAGCCTTTTCAAGATTATGGACTACAAATCGACCGGGTTTGTCCACCTTTCATTGGTTGAACAGTACGTAGCTCACTTTGAAGACGGATCGTTTCTAGATTCGCTAGAATGCGGTGAGTTATGAGGTTTACCCAGAGCTGAGATACCAAATGCTCATCAGTTCGGTAGACTAGAGTAAAATTTCGGAACAAAAAAGGGGCAGCATAGTTTTCGTAGCTGCGTCAAGCTCAAACAAAATTCATATGGAGTCTTCGCTCATGGAGCTTGAGGTTGGATAGATATCTCTCTACACTGTTCATGACAGTGGTGAAAAATACCGTTTATCAAACATTAATCACACAGACGATAATCCATTTGTCGTCCACGACGCCACGTTTTACTAATAGCGGCTCTTTCGGTTTTCGGAGCACTTCAAAAACTTTTTCATACATATTTATTCAGAGATGCTTAATTACTGCGGTTATCACCCCTTAGAGTGACGACTTCAAAAGTGGTATCTCTTGGGAAGGAAATCATTTTTAGCACGACCTCAAATAGTGACTTCAGATAGGCTCATTCACTCGTTGCACATCCGGCTTTAATCCACTTCGTGTTTCTTTGCAAGTTCTGTGTGTAAAGTTTGCACAGTCTTCTTCCCGTAATACAGTATAGTTCAACATTTTGCGGCATACTGCAGCATGTAGTTATATGATATACATCCGAAGAACGCCATCAAACTTGGGTTGACGAATGGTTGTCAATAGTTTTCGGATTGTTTGTCTGCCGATCTGTTCCCGTGAGCCCTACAGCGAACTCACAGGCTAACCAACAGTAGCCCATCTGGCTACAAACAAACCGTTTCTGTTATCTTGGCTATGCGCAGTAGCCCAGAGGTGCAAATACTATTGCTGTATTGAATGCCAGCCAACTGTATATTCCACAAGTAAATCGTAAGATCATTCAGATCTTATGGATAAGCAGTTTTGATCAGACTGTGCTAGTTCAAAGTGTATTTTTACGCCAAAAATTGGCAAACATGTGAAACTGACTGTTTGTTCATACAAGTATCGCCATAGGCAGGTTTGGGCAAGATAGATTTGTGGTTAACTTCGAACAAATTCTAAAGAGCCGAGTTTTGTTTCATCTCTTGCGGCCATCGGCCGTCTTGTCCCGAAATCCAGCCCCCCGGGAAATACATTATTTTGGCAAGTGTACAAAGTGCAGTGGTCTCTGATACAGGAGTGTTTCTGTTTGCCCCCTACCTCAAAACAGAAACTGTGAGCTGTTAGGAAAAAGGGCATCTACGCAATGAGTTGAAGCAGAACGATATATCTCTTGATGAAGCACACTACTTAAAAGGTTGCTGACTATTTATTAGTGGCTCATGACCAGGTTCGTCTTTCTTAGAGCTCACCAGGTAGGCGTAATCCCATCAGCCTTAAGTTTCAGTAAAAAACCGAAATGTATGGAACTGGCGAAATCCACTTATCTGCAAATCGAGTTGATGTTAGCCGATGACTAACCTGAATACCAGCTATGTTTACCAGTCATGATATTTTTCAACTAAATTTGCTGCTTAAAGGCCACCCCGTGATATATCTGGCAATGTTTCAAGATACTGCAGTATATTTGTTTGAAGAAAACTACTCACAAGGTTGCTGAAAACTCCGACATCTCACGACCAGATTCGCTCTTCTTCGTGCTCGTCGGGTAGGCGGAATCCTAAAGTTTCCGTCAACCTTACATTCAGCTTGAACCTAAATTGTACGAGATTCGCGAAATACATTCACTTAAAAACCAGTTCGTTTTCGATAGGAGACCCAAATTAGTCCCAGATAAGTCTTCTATTTGTGGCACTTTTCAAGTAAATGTACTGCACAAAGTGCGTCTCGCATTCTAGTTCGCATGATACCCAAGATATCGGTGTATTTTTTCTAACAAAAGGCGCTGGTTGTTCGGAGGTATCAAAAGCCAACGCTTCACTTAAAATCCAGTCAGATCTCTATTCAACATCAACTTGTTCGTAACAGACTACCTTTCGTCCCTGGCGACGAAATGGCCGAAAGAGAGCAGTCATATTCCCCTATAAGAGAGAGAGAGCAGAACGAGAATCAACATCAACTTCTTCGTAACAGAATGCCTTTCGTCACTGGCGACGGAACGGCCGAAAGAGAGCAGTCATATCCCCCTATAAGAGAGAGAGAGCAGAACGAGATGTCCAATAGTTCCGTCATTAAAAATTTTCCACCTCTCAGGTTTTCTAGGCCAGTCGATCAGATAGTTTTACTACAGCATTCTGGTTCGAATTTTGACGATATTTGTCAACTGCTGATCGATCATGTTCAGCTAAAATAAGGTCAGTGCAAAAAATGGATGGTTAAAAAGACTCGCAGTGTGGGTTTCTTAAAATGCTTTGCTCGATGATATCATTGTTTACTTTCTCTTTTTTTATCCAACAAGGCAAGCGGAAAATTCAAACCTTCCAAAGCAAGCAGGCTCAAGAATATCCCGTGCGCAATGAGCAGTTGGACTTTTCGATCGGAGATAGAACCTTGGACGAATCCGGCGCATACGAATTAAATTCTTTCCAAGGGGAAACGCTACCCTCGATGGATAATGGAAATAATACAGCAGACACGTTGATAAACAAGCAGAACCTTCGCATTCTTCTGAGACATACTTTCAGTGTGGACCGTGTAGGAGAAAGTCAGAGCAATGTGGAAACATTGTCTGCTTTTGCTGACTTTGTCCAGCAACAAATGAATGTTAGTCTACAAGAAAAACTCAAAGGTGATACGAGAAGGCAGTGGTTGGATGAAATCACGCACGAGGCCCAAATCGCACATTATTCGATGGAACCAGTTTATCGTGCAGTATTTAAGGTAAACTAGCTTTGTGTAGCATGCGTATACTGCTTACGCAAAAATTGTGTTCTGACCACTCATAAGACAGTCACTGACGCATATCCCATCAAAAAGTCGTGCTCGATGGTGTTTACTTTGATGAGAAGACTTGAAATCCTGGTGAGTTCTGTTGGTTAGCACGAAAACGTGAGACACAGAATGAGAACCGAATTATTTTCCTTCCGTTCACAACAAGCGCCGTTTGATTCACTCCCATGGGCACGAGTTGAGTATTGATATTCAACTTTGTGCTTCGTGTTTCATTTATCATCGCCTCTCTTAGATGAAGCATTCCGACTAGTGAACAGCACTATAAAGCAGACTGTTACTATGCTATTTTGTACAAACTCCATCAACATTGTCCAGAGCAACTGACAGCAGATCACGAGGATCAACCAGCCACTTGCAAGAACTTGCCCAAATGTTACAAATCCTACCGACGAAGATAAATAGTCCACTGTGGCTCCAACGATCCGCTGAAAAAAACTATGAGGTTCATAATCTTTGTAGAAAGAACCCAGACGATGTGGAAGGGAAATTCGACTGAATCAGAGGAAAATTTCGAACAAACCCAGTAATCGCCGAAATATGAAATATACTTCGTCTGTTGACAGTCGCTATATACTTCAATGACTTTGATGATCGTCTTATGGGGTAAAAATTATACAACAGCCAACTTCTGCTGTTTCCGAAGATAGTTTAATAACTACCGAGAAATAGGGTCAATTTCTCGAGGTACGTTAAACGGAACCATGTCTATGTGCGTTTTGTGTTGACAAAACACGTTTTTGCATGCAATCGGCTACACGTGCATTCTAAAACCACACGTTCACAATTTCTTTCAGTCGTAATTTAATTGAATGCATACCCGTGGGAGAATCGAACATCCTGAATTTATGAAGAGAGTGGCCTATAGTTTCCTGCTTGGAGTTCGAAGCAGTCTACATGATATTGAGAGTAGTTTATCCTTGACAGGTTGGCATCCAATCAGTTGAGCAGATTGTGGGAACATGCGAATGATTTTCACGGTGAATTTGCACAAGATGCCATACTAATACACAGTGATATTCGATAGAGATATGGTGCGGCACTCCTATTTTTTGTCGCTTGTGTTTAATCCAGTTCCTGTTCCATGAAGCGCGCACTTTCTCTGCCACACACTGCCCAGCCAGCAAAGTTTATATCTCTGCTTATGCTGGGTGGTAGTCCCGCTACAGTTTTAGATTAAAAGGATTAAACAAAATTGGTCTATCCTTCAGAATGCTCTGTTCTGATTGGTTTTCATCAGGTGAATCAGCTTGCTTTTACTTCACGTTGACTTTGTTTTGGAGAAGAATGAGTCGGCTCCAGGAATATCCTAGACTGCTCCTACCCATACGCATTACCGGTGGTAATGCCCGAGCTCAGCCCCATTCATTTTAGTCCCGCTGCTTGACCTTGTAATTAAGTTACGGACCCAATAGCCCTAACTGCTGTCTTCTATGTAGCAGAGCCATTCTGAAAAGAGTACCGGCCACAAGAAGAATTTGGACAGTTAGCTGTCCACTTCCTATGTCTAAACTACTGTAGTCCACTATAGTGTGCCAATTTGTAGACAACTTGGGACCTTGGGGTGGCAAGTTAAATCGTTTTTTTTCGAAGGCAGACTTCAGAGAAGTGAAGAAATAAACTCCTTTTCCAATTTTTCCTTGGTCAATCAACCCCCAAAAATAAGGTTCAGACAGTGACTAGTTGTTGCTCTGTTCGCCGAGCTTAGCAAGTGACCTACAAACGTCTCGTTACCATACGAGGAGGCATCATTAGTGCGTAGTTAGGTGGGTTCCTCCTGTTTGCCTGCGTGTACGTGGAGGCTATGTGCTATCTCCTGGCGTGATCGGCTATTTGAGTGAATTTATTGTTCCGTTCTTGATCTTTGTTGCGTTGTGATCTGCGATCATTTAAGTCGATTGATTATCCCTATGCCTTCTATCTTTAGTAGTTTAATCCCCTTTTTGAGTGCTCTCTTCCCGAGTTGCACTGTCGTGATATGATCTCCCCAAGGTTGATTGCTTGGTTGCACCGCCATATTTTAGCCACCGTATCGACTAATGTCCCTGCGTCCGCCGGTTAATTTGATGATGAAATGTGCCTCCTTCAATCAAACCACGCTCTCCAGATCCTTTTACGAGTTCTTCCTCCGGTTGCTTGTACAGCTCAGAGCTCTGTGGTTGTGGCATTCTGTTCCCCCTAGTGAGTGATAAATAGGATTAATTTCGATGTTTGTTGACAACTTCTTCTTCGGTAGAGGATCGCGCTTCCATTAATTCATGTTTTTCCTCCGTTCTTGTTTGAGCCAATATACGAACCCCTCTCCTTACAGATATTTTTCCGCGGAGATGAGAGCGATTTGGCGTTCATTTAATCTGGTGGAGGGCTTCCTTCTCGTCTGTCTTATCTATCGTTTGTCACAGTCACAGTGGATCTAATTTTCCTCTTGCTTTCGATATAGCCCTCCAAAAAGTGTTCGCAGGTTTGTGAGCAACCATCGTATTAAACTGTAATAAGAGCTTTGTCCTCATTTCAGCGGTGATCTTGATATATGGGAGTGTGACTCGTTCGCTTCCATTTTGTGCTGCTGCATTGGTCGTGTTTGGCTTTCTGACTGATTTGTAGATGGGAATCCCTGGGTATCCTTTCTCTAGAACAAATTGTATGGGCGTTTTTTGTGATAAATCTTGTATTCTGCTGTGCTGCAATTTGTCTTGACATGCTTCGAAATTGCCCGAATACAGCTCTGTTTGTGACAATTCGGATGGGTTTCGTGGTAGCTTGGAACAGGATCCATATGCATAACTTTTCTCTAGACATCAGTTTATAGTTCTCCGTTCGGTAGTCTAGTGAACAGAATGTCCAGGAATGCCAGCTTTTCGTTGTTCTCTTCTGTGAATTCGATGTCAGCAAAAAAGGTGCGTAGTAGATGTCTTGCTCGCTGCAGTTCGCTCTTCTTCATGATCATACATGTGTCGATCACATAGAGGATCCATATTTTGAGCCTTATACCAGGCGAAGCTATTTGTCCAAGCTTTGCACTAATTCCTGAAATAAACCCTGCAGTTGGCGACCCCGCTGGTGTCCCTCGTAGTTATTCGTAATATTCTCCGTCTAACTCGAAATGTGTAATAAAGCGTAATTCGGGTAACTGGACGAAGTCTTCTTCCTCCAGCGAACCACTAGGCATGCCACCATTATCCGATAATTCTGCCACAGTTGTCTTGGCGGAATGAAGATCTACAGACATGAATAGTGATGCCACAGATAATGAGACCATTTTTTTGTCTTGATAGATGTTTAATTTTCTTCAGTCTTTCCAAAAACTGTTCCGCCGTTCCCGGGAGTGATACTGTTGGTCGGATGGGGAATTCATAGTCCACGGAAACATGGAGTGGATAAATCACGAGCTCTCGTACGATATAATTCCTTTTTTGTGATCTTGTGGAGATCTTAGAATATCGTTATGTTCGTATTGAATTTGTTTGCCAGTTGTTCGCTTTCTAAGCGGTGATACATAGTTGTGTCGTTGAGTAGGGCCTTTGTTTTACTGACATAGTCCAGTTTGTCCAAGGTCACTGTGAGGTGTTCCTTGTCTTCTGGTAGAACCACTAAGTTTTCATCCATCTTATTGCCAATATTTCTGTCAGAAAACACAGTGAGCGGCTTGTCGCGTGTGACGACCGGAATGACGGTTTAATGAAGTTGTTGTTGAGCTCTTTCGCCGAGTCCGATAGATTTCATCGCCGCTTCTAGGCTGGATAAATACTCTAAATTTTTCACATCTTTGGAGTTGGTGTTAGACCCTTCGATGAGAACGTATTCTTCAGCTTCCCTGAATTGGCTTTTGGACAGGTTCCTCATTCACATTTTGTTTGGATTACTGTTGTACTCCTTCAATTGCTATATAAATGCGCGTAGGCAAACAGGAGGAAATAACCCAAATGCGCACTGATGACTTCACCTCGTATGGTGACGAAAGGTTTGTAAGTCAATTGCCAATCCCGGCGAACAGGTAAACAACTACCTGATTGACAACAGTAAACTCATCAATATTTCGACATACTACAAGTATGTTTCGGGCAAGAAAAACAATATTTAATTTTCTTGAAAACCAAGAGTGTCGTTGACTGTTCCGCTGAATGGTACCTTTCGTACTATGGAGACAAAGCTTGTTTTTTTAAAAGCTTCGAAATAAAAGGATTAAGCTGGGTTACATGAGTGGGTTGATGTTCGGTATATTCCCCTGACTAAAACCCTTACGTCGGAAACAACTTGAGTAGTCTCCTGTGCGACAAAATCCACTGAGTTGGTAAGTTTTTCTCCGGATGGTATGTTGTTTGGTGTGCCCGCCAAGCTCGGAAAATTATTTGCGAACTTTTCATGGTCGTTGGAGGCGAAATCGTTAGTGTACTGTGTTTACTATACAACTTTCACCAGCGATGTGCCTAATTTAAGTATTCATGGACCTGAGCATTAAGACGGCTACCTTGTTTTTTTTCATCAAGGCGGTCATCAGAAATACGTTAACATTTAGCGGAAACAAACCGATCAGTGCAAAAATTTTCCTGTTCCAAAAGACGCACCCCTCATCAGGGAAGACAATGCTTCAATGTATGGCTGCTATCCCGGATTCAGAGGCCAGTTCGTCTGTGGGCGAGCATCTACTCGGCACGCATGCTAATATTTGTTTTCAAGTGAGCATTTCAACATACACATGACTCCGATTTCTTTGAACTGCTTGGTGAATTTGACTATCAAACCTGACTTGTGTCCTGAATTCTTACACGGAAGAACGTCGTGAATTCCAGGAAGCTGAACGTACCGTAGAAGTGACATTTCTTATCTGGATGTTCCTGCTTAAAACCCTCTTTTAGCTTTCCGACTGGTCCGGGTCCAGGTTTCTGTAAAATAGCTTATGCCATTCTTCGTTTCTTTTGGTTACACGATAATTATCCAAGGAACCACTGGCTTCATCGAAATTCCTGTACTGAATACACAAACTAAATGATTCTGATACAAAAGGTTTTTGATACCAAAGAGAAAATCAAATTAGGTGATCGATAAAATCCAGTGTTTAGGTGACTGAGAATCACGTTTATCAGTACTACTTGCTGACGAATGCGATCGATAGCTACACAAGCGTTCGATTATGATAAATGACTCATGGCCCAGAAGTTTTACTAATCGCTAACTTTTTCACTGTGATTGCGTCCGACAATCCTAGATCTTAAAGAAATATGTGAAAACGGACGTAGTAATATTAACTCTCATCATCAGTCGATTCGTTTCTAACAACTGTGACAGGAAAGTGCTGAAGTTGTGTTAACCAAAGTGACCGTAGCCTGTCCTTGTGCCAGTTTGGACGGTTTCTGTGTCTTGTGATCCACTTAAGTTGCCTAACAACGGCTAGCAGACAAGCGCACAAATGAGGCTGCAGAGTGGGTTCATCCGTCGGTCACTTTTAGACGCGTAAGCGGGTCCGGTGTAAAAGACTATTCTCTCCAAACTCCAGTTAAGTGTTTAGTGTGGGTCCTTCATTTGGATGGTGTTCTTTCTCATACTATGACTTGGTTCAGTTCACAGTATAGTCGCATAGTCCGCATGATGTAAATTATTCCCACGCATGATCGATCCATTGACGAAGGTTTTCCTTCGCATTCTTACGGACCATACTGGGATGGGTTTCTGGTAGATCAGCTAAATGCGATGAAAATGCCGGTGTAACATCTAAAAGACCTTTTGATCGGGTTGCACTCCTGTCAGTTTCGGGGGATACAATACACCCAGGCAGTTCATTCAATATGGAACTGAAACAATCTTTTTGTCCAGTTGGGAAGCTGAATTTTAGCAAGCATATTTGTTCTAAACAATGCAATTTTTTGTTGACAATGCTTGGGGCACACGTTTGAGAAACGTTTATATTTAGATGTGTTGGAGAAATGAACGTTCGTGGACAATTGATAGGCGGTGTTATTCTTTTTATCACCCATTCAAGTCGTGACCATTTACGATGGCCGTAGTATCCCCGTACTTTTATTGGTTATTGATCCTTCAGACTTGTAGCACTACAGCATATGATATAAAAACCCAGATGCCGACCCCTTTACATGAGAACAACACCAATTTTTCCCTTGATTCCACCTCACTTTCGATTGTCTGGCTTTGTTCAATAGGAGAAAACCTGCATAAGCTGAGGCATCCAATTATAAGTACAAACACTCTAAAAAAGCGGCTTTTAGTAGATTCCATGGCGAATATTCTAGACTGATCGTTCGTAACCCAGTAAATTGAATCCATAATCTCTCAGCTTTTACAATGCATGCGATTCGTGGCACTGTAACTGACCAGGTGATAGCCAGATTATACAAAATTCGCGCGAAATGCTCAGCCTTCTTGAAAAAGTGCTGCTGGAGGGTCCGAGCAGAAATGAAGCTCTTTGCCTATGTTTTAACCTATACCCTTGGTACGACACTACGTGCAAGTTCGATGAAAATTACCGAGCCGCTCGTCCTTTTTGGAGTTCAAGAATTTCCGTCAACGGCAGTTTTTACTTGAACCCCAAATTCGAATTCACTTGCCATTTGGGATGATGATGGCGAAACGATCGACTTAATCTCACTGATTAACACGCGCCAAGTGAATCTATTACCTTATACGCAGTATCAAAGAGTGGAAGGCACTTCGTTCCAGCTGAAACATAAAGCGGCCTTTGTGCATGATATCCAGTTGGAGAAAATCATAAACGAGAGATTTATCGTAGTTCTGTATGGATGTCACCTTAATTCCCAAGTACATGCTCGTCTCTACAGAAGAGGAGATAATGACGTTCTTGTTGGCTTCCAACGCAGATTACTGATTTGGGTAGAAGTGTGCTCAACTAACAGTCAGTCTGCATCTTTCTAAAAGGGTCGGACTCCGCTGGTCTCTGATTTTTCAATGTGGATAATGTAACATCTGGTACAATATATATCTGTCTCTTTAAAGTGGTTAGTTTCATCTTCAATGGAACAAACTATCACGTATTCGGATCACTCACTGGTTAGAAGTATGCCACACACTCTCTTGCTATGACTCTGTCAGGTCATGGACTACGGGTGCCCCATGTACGAGAAGGTAAAAGTTTCTCAAACGGAACAAGGACAAAGCAACATAAGTTCAAAACCTGAAACACTGACCTGCAGTGACCAAACAACTCCACATCAAAAATTAGGCTTGGCAGTGCCTATTCCAGGCTCAACGAGAAGAAGCTTGGGTGTGCTCTACATTCAGCAGCCATGTGATGACTACAAACACCTGATGCTGGAAGAGGACGAACTGTCATTTTATCAGGTTGGTGAGCGGTGTATAATCTTCCAAGCGCAGTTCCATCCTTTACTTTACATTAGTCGGTCATGTAACCTCATCCTAAATGCAGATCAGTATTCATCATGTAAATTGATCATTCTATTTTTATACAAAGTTACCTTTTAATGTATCATTGCTGACCGCGGAGAAGTGCGCACTGAATCATCCAGACATTCTGAAGCAACCATATGATTCCAAAAAACCATCAATTACCTTGAATAAACTAGTTTGTAGTTTCAGAAAGACAGTTTTAAGGCAACCGCTCGAAGTAAACTACATATGAACATTGCCCTAGTGTGATTTACGTTGCCCTAACAACACATGCCAATTAAACCAGTCACCGAATATCAGGTTTCCTTTCACACACCCTGGAGAGACTTAGTATCCCATAGAAAAAGCTAATTGTTCCTCGGCGATGCCCTTCTCTAACCAAATTAAAGTGTATTTCACTGTGCCCTTTTTCAAGGTCTTTATACAGACGGCTTTAATTTGTGCCTAGTCCTCTTGAAAGCCTAGCTGAAGGATGTTTACTGAAGTTACGTATGTTCGGAATGATTCGATTTAATTTACCCTCTGTGTCTAGTAACTGAAACTATTGCGTACTTTTTTCCTCGACTCAGAATCAAGGGTTCCAACGGAGCTTTGGCAACAAAGGTCGAGCAAAAACATCACTAAGTACTGGTCTGAACAATTATTCAGTTTGAAGACTAGAACTTCAAACGACACATGGTGACACCGTCAGCTGTAACCCAATTTTCCAGCGAAAATGGAAGGTACAAATTACATTGGAATACAATATATATGACACCTTGCGAATGTTGTCTAACGTCAACAAAGTAAGGCGTAAAGTAATCTGTGAAAGTAATTGCAGCACCAACTGAATCCATCGAACCGGCTTGCTCAGTCCATCTAAGCTCCAGGATGAAGGGAACCACTGATAAATTACTGATCCCTTTTTTTCGAACGCTGGGGTTAAATAATGAAAAGTTGTTTTGTCAAAATAAAAAGACAAAATTATTTGCCCACCTACAGCGGACTTCATTCTGTGCGTGTATTTTTGTCCGACACAGGCGATTGCCTACGAACTAGGGAGTGCTATTGATACGGTCAACCTGCACAAGTTCTTCACCCATACAGTGGTCGCTGCATTCCACTGGATCAATCAGTACTTAGACAGTATGGAACAGGTGGCATACTACTGGTGTCTGGATGAGAATAAAGCGAATGCTGTTGGACAAGCAACAAGCACACTCGGTGATGCCGACGAGGATGAAAAACAAAATATCGATCAGCAGTCAGTAAAACACCGGAATTGCGCTTTGGTTAGGTTGGTTACCAAACACCGCAACTCGGTTCCAGTTCTCCATGCCAGACCAGAAATTCTCGAGCGGTCAGAATCCTACCTAGAGTAAGTGTCCAGAGCTTATTCAACCAAACAAAAACACCACGTAATTTGGTAAATAATTGTATACTGGTCGATTCGCAAAATAAACCGAGTGTCCTGGATGCATTGCTTACAAGAAGGACTCTCCACTAATGGGAATTTTGTGCACTGATCTCATTAAATTGGGCTGACGGGTAACACAAGAATCGCTGTCCATAACAAGAAGACTTTTGGCACGTTTTGCGTTACTGTCCAATAACAGGAGCAATTGACGTCAATTACTATGAGAGTTGATGGTGAAACGGAATGTTCGGCCCATGTATTCGTTCATTCTGAGCCTGAAGGGTGGGGCTGTTCAGTGTTCTGAGAAGTTTGGTCTGCCAAAGGCAAGTGTAGCAACATGAATTATGTATGATAAACCCAGTAATGAGACGTGACTGTAACGAGTTTTTGGTTTGTCTACGTTTGAGATTCATGAAGTGAGAAAAACTTCAACTCTTCAGTGAGTTAAGTTGTTTTTCTAAGCGCTCACTTGTACGGCTAGTGATACCGCAGACTGAAAAGTTCTATAGATGACACAGTGGGTCCACGACCTGGTCTGTGAATGGTTCTTGAAGATAACTGCGAGGGATGTGCACGTCCTGAGGACAAATTTGAAAATCACTCCCTGTTAAATGAGCCCGAGGACAACAAAGGAAACAGCTCAATTGTACATACGTGAACAAGGAACGTATGGATGAGAACAATGGGAATAGTTCGAAGTCAAATTAACCTGAATCATTTTTTTTCTTTTTGCATTCTATCCAGATGATCCACGTAGGTTGTTTGATTAACTTGAGCGAATTCCATTGCATAGCAAGCCAAATAAGGACAGAATTCTCTTAAGCACGAGCTGTCTGATATACGTGACATTCACTTGTCACGTAGGTTAATAATTTGCTCAACAAATATAGTCTATTACATATAATTCTAAAGTGCTTCGTCAGAAAACTTAGTAGGCCACAGCAAGAACGACGGTGAGATTTGGCTGGCGCTATTTCTAGGAGAGCCATCACAAAGGTTTTGGAAGGTCGTTCCTTGTTAGCCCAAAATACGAGAATTATGGAAACAAAAAAACATTATTTCAGGCGGTGAGACTACTTGGTCAGCGTAACACAGAACCAAGTAAACGAAGATATTAGCACTGGGTGCCTCCTCGGTCCAGATATTTACTGCTTCACAGCTTAGCCCTACTGTGCACTGATGACAACCATAGTCCCTTCATTTTAGTGACTTTTCCAATGGTCTTAAACTCATGTTCAATCTATTTATTGAATCTTTTTTTAACCGATAATCCTTGTTGCGGGCACAGTAACCCGCCTGTCACATGCCAGCTATCCATGTGCTGCAAAATTGCAAGCGCCGCTAGGAGGTCACATGTTGGCGTTCGATCACCCTCAATCACTTTTCGTAAAATCCTCGAAGAATTTGCAGGTTAATTTAATCCGTACTGACGCCATTCTCTGTACTGTCACCTTAGTCATGCGTTCAAACGTTTCCGAAAACAATGTGTGTGAGTCATCGATGTAAGTCGTAAGACGGCCGCATGCACAAACTGTCATTTGTTACTTGGAACACGGTGCCGTAAAGTTTGTAGGGCTTTGTTTTAGATGGGAGCTGTGTGATATATTTGCAGTGTTTTCTTACACAATGGTCTGGTTCCCGTTTAAATCTGATCCATTCATGTTCAGTGTGTTACAACATGTTGCTAAGTCAATCTGATCAATTGGATCAACTGTTGCTCCACACATACCTCATTTTTTCAGTAATTACCTTTTTACCGTTGCGGATACATCAGAAGTTGTTGAGCAAACGAGTTGTCAAAAACATCATTTTTGCTATCCTGTGCGAGATTGTGAAGGTGTAGCCGTCGGCATCGTGGACCTGCACATGAAGGAAAACAAGTTGACCGCTGAGGAGACTGAGAAAGTGATCACAATGATGGCAATACTAAGCACAGTTTACGGCTCACAGAACCGTAAAGTTGGAACTGAGGTTTATCAGAGGGAACCGGAAGAAGTAGATGTGGATTTCGGCGGTGACACTGCGCTCTCTCCTTCCAGCTTTTTCAAGCAGGTTGCAGCGGTTGAGCTGTACGAACTGGTTCGAAAACTGACACCGGAGGTGAGTTGACTCAGTAGATTGTGGGGCTCAAATAAGTCGTTCGTCTCCATTTATGATACGAAAAGAACATTGGAGAAAAACCTAAAATTCTAGGGGAGTTGTGATGAACCGAGGAGTATAATTGAAGTGATGGTTCAGCCTATGTGATCAGTTAGTCAAGTCATTATTTCTGAATCTTTTAACCGTAGTCGACGGGATAAGAAAAAATTTAAGTCTGCACGACGTTTTTGGAACCCTATCGACCGAAATGATCACTATATCGGCAATCAGCTGACTGAGAGCGTTCCTGTGCATGAGTCAAGCCGCGTCCCGTCTAACAATCCTCAGATATGACAGTAATTTTGTGTAATCAATAGGAAACCGTTTCCTGCTTCAAAATTGAAAAGATAAACTCTTCTAGCCAAATCTTTTTGCATAGCATTTAGTTGTGGCACAGTTAAGGAAGGTTTATGGGACGTATAATGGAGCCTGATGGACGCGATGGTCCTAAACAGCAAACAAACCACTGATAACTTCATCATATTGCTGTGGGCACAAGCTAATGCACAAGGAAAGATGTAACATATGATTTAAAACTTACTGTTCTTCGAAACATTTGTTTCAACACTCACGCTTTTGTAGTCTACCCGTTACTCCTATTCCGAGTATCAACAGTTCCTTGTGACAGACATTCTTGTGCCATATTTGATCTGGACAAATGGTTCATGTTTTCTACAGGATACACAATATCGATTTTGCCTCTCATGAGCACATCACATTCTCGTTATTTTACAACTAGCACGATGAGTGGTGTTAAGCGAGTGCTGAAAAAGCCGAGTACCCCAGGAAACGTTGGAAAGCAAGTAGTATGCACGCGCCTGAACATAGCTGCAGCTGAATGTACGGTGGCTTTACTTGAAGACGCCACCTCCTAAAAAGCAACATAATACGTGCTCCATTCACGAATAAATATTCCTGAAACGGAATGTCGCATCCTGCAGTACGACCAACTCCTCTGCACAGGACTGGACTGATGTAACCGATAATATGTAAGGGTTTGTTTAGGTGGTGGCCAAGATTTCATTCAGGCTCACGAATACTTTTTGGATCTGAGACTATTTTCACCGTATATTTCATTCAAACGGTAGGTTTACAACCAAATTCACAGCTGCGCGAGTAGTTCTCAGGTCGTTTCGGACATAATCGCAATGGTAGCAGAAGTCCTCAATCCGCAGTCGACAGACTCCGAGGGAAGTGCAGACACCGTTGACGACCAGTGCCGTTCCATCGAAAAGTTGCTGCCAAGTTTCAATGTGGCATCTGCTTCAAACGAAAGGCATGTGACGATGCTCCGCCGGTTTTTTGAAAGTAAGTTACGATCCATCTAGAATAACTCTCCAGTAACATCAGAATATCTCCTTCACGAGTTACATGTTGTAGGTGGCCTTTGATGTTGGCGTAAGCTTTTCATTTCTTTGATACAACACATCAGCTTACTGTTACGGTTCGGTCACGCAGCGAGCTTGGAGTATGGCCATTGATTTTTCATAGTTTGACCTTGAAGATGCCAGGAGTTCGCTAGCACACATAAAAACAGCGTTTTCTGGGGGATGGGATATTCCCCAACACCTCCCCTTGTGAAAAGTCAGTAGCGTACTCGACGGGGGTCGACCTGGATACGCTCCGGCTGGCGGCGGCGTCGGTCTGTCCACCGCCTGGGAAGAAGTGTTGGATCAAATACTGAGCTGCCGGTCACACTCTCCTCTTTCGAAGCTGTCTCAGTTTTCAGCTCAAAAGTATCGAGCAATATGTCCAACGGTATGCTACCCGAACATACTTGAGTTTCCGGCGTGCTGTTAAAGCGGAGTTGGTTTTGATGTCTGGTCCAGGTGTCTTGACCAACCGACACGTCGTACATCACACTACCGCGTTTGCGCAGGATACGACCTGCAATC